AAATACTTTCTCAGAAGTTATGATGAGAAACGCAATAATTATATTTTGTACACTGCTTTACATGACCTTAGAAAAGATTTGGAAAGAAATAATGGTGTTAAAAATTGGGCTTCGAACGTTTGTTCTATACTACAAAGTGCTGGTTTTAATGATGTCTGGTTATTTCAAGAATCGCTAGATGTTTAAGTTTTTATTCCAATTTTAAGATTACGGCTTTTAGATATATTTACAACTGAATGGAGACAAAATGTTGATAATAGATCATCACTATCCCTGTAAAAAGAAGTAAAAACTGTTTTTCAATTATCATCTTATTAAGAAATGTTACGTTATGTAAAACATAGAAATATTATTGCTAAATTACTTTTATCATCACACCAATTAAATATAGACACTGGAAGACATAGCCATGTTGAAAGAGCTGAAAGGAAATGTAACTTATGTATAACAAATGATATTAAAGACGAATTCCATTTTGTTATGATATGTCCTGTATATAGATTATTAAGAATACAGTATATTCCCAAATATTATTATACGGACACACACCCGTTTAGATGAACAGGCTTTCTTTTAAATTATATTGTCATATTGAAATATTTTTACTCATCTGGAGGCATGCATCTTTAAAACATATCAGCGGTTTATTTAAAATTAAATTTGTATTGCAAACTGTTTCTTTGATGTGTTATTTGACATATTATGAAGTCATCATAATAAATAAATTCCTTGATTTCTTTAACTGACAAATGCTAGAGACAGTAAAAGACCGTACAATCTAATTTTTACTGTAACACTTGAAATGAATTTTAAGAACCATTCTCCAATATTGGCAGGTCTGGAAAGACGGGAGGAGATCAGACATTAGAGGGGGGAATGTTTACATATGCATCAGTGATGTTTGAAGATGGTGGACAAAATTGCCGATTGAGAAAAAAAATTGTCTACACCTCTTTAATGATGATAAAATCTTCGAAAATTGTTTTAAAAAAAACAAATTTTTTTAAGGTAAAGTTGGTCGTTTCTTCTTAAATTTGCTAGTTTTCACTTACATCAACATCTAATTGGGCAGTGTCCATTTACAAAATTCATTTCGAGATTGGACTGCAAAAATACATAGCTCATCAAAAACACATCTCTATGTCTCTTTGACAAATCTTATTCGTTGGACTACTATTGACCCAACATTTTTCATTGATGTATACAAGTAGACAGCAGTTAGTTAACCGAAAACTGCTCGAATATGATCAAACTCAGGCGTGGTCGACGTACTTTTAGGAGCTTCTTCAAGTTTAGAAGTTCCAAAGTTGAAGCTACAGAGTATGAATATACTAAATCTAATATGGGCTGTAATCACCTGACGTTGCTCTCCTTTGCTGACCTTTAGCCTCACAAACTGCTTCTATGAAAATAGTTAATGATATGTTAAGCTTGTATGTGATGGATCCGAGTTTAGCAATTAGTATCAAGTTGTGATGTTATTTAATCTGAATCTGATCTTTTTTAAATAAATAATTTCAAACGTTTATTACGTTAGGCATACTAAAGACATTTAAAGGATAACATGCATGTGTGCAATACGCAATTTAAGTTATTAAACCTTTTATGAGTCAATCAGGTATTCGTTTCTTAACGCATTACCTATACCTTAAAAAACTCCCTTCAAAACATTACATACAAAAATTTAATCATTGTAATCTGTGTATTTATGTTTATCACCAGTTGCACTCAACAAAAAATACGACAAAGGAATATGACCTTGATCTTACATTAGATTTCTTATAAATGCGTGACATATCAACATGTATGGTTACTTACCGATGTCAAATCAGTGAAGGAATATAGGGCATAAAATCTTATTTAATACTATGTATCAAAGGATTATTGAGAACTTGAAATCAGATCATTTGTTATAAATATTGTTTATTGTCATGCAATCAATCACTGGTATTTACATAAGATATAATGTAGTACTAAGCGGCTGACATAAATGGAATATAAATGGATAATATTACCAAAGCTTTTTAAAAAATGATCTACTAATCGGCCAGATCACTCAATCTATTTTTCTTAAAAGCTCGTTAGGAAATAGTTAGAGAAAATGAGGCGCCGATAGATATATTGTATACACAGCCGTCGGCCAATATAGTATAATTCTCTTGACATGTTTGTATTAGAGAATGAATCTGAAATAGTCTGTGCAAAATACTACGTCTTAGAAACAAAAAATATAGGAGATATGATAAAATTCCCAGAACTTCCCGAACAACTTTTACTTTTATGCAACGCTTTTCTTCAATATAATTATTTAACAGTGGCTATTTCATAGAGAATGAAAGCATAAAAAAGTCAAAATTAATTGCAAAAATATAGATGTCGAAATCATTCTACCGTATATTTTATCTAAATTCATACCTTAAATGAATAGTAAAAAGTGTCAAGAAAATGCAAGAGTTCATTTAGATATGTTCTAGTTGAAATTACGAAAACGGATTTTTCTCTTTATAACACCATTTCTGTGAATAAAGACGCTTTGTTAGCACCATTACATAAAACGAGACTAGCATTGGTTTGGTTAACATGCAGAGATCAGCAAGAAATAGCCTGAATTGAATGTACAAAAATGAAAATTTCGTAACCTAAGTCCATTCCAAATATACTTTGTGTATTATCCAGTTTGCATGTATCAGCCAGTAATTATATTAATGGACAACATCAACAGAACTAGCAATTGAAATCTAAGTTATAATACTAGTAAATAAGGATTAATAAATATTTTATCTTGTTTAATACTCATTTTGTAAGCTATAACTGTATAAGAACATATATCATTGTTTTTATCATTTATTGCAAGCAAACAATCATTTTATTTATATGTAATTTCAAAACTAATAAAGAATAACAAATCAATATGAAGTTTCTCTGAAATCTCCTAAACTGATGGAGAACTTCTTGAAGGGATCGTTATTGAATACATAAACGATACGAGGCGTCATTTACGGTCATTAGGCAATATAAAAGTAATCCTTCTAACATTTATGTACTTGGGTATGTCAATGTAACATTCAACTTAACCTTGATTTTGATAAAGTCGTATAAAGCGTCAGGGATAGGTCCTTTTATTCAACTATGAATCGGATAATAATTATAACACTAACATATTTTGAACTTACATAATATTATTTTGATTTAAAATAACATTTAAAAAGCAATGTAAGGCCATTATAGCAAATTAAAGTATCGAATGCATATCATTTTATGAAAAAAAAACTATATTATCATATTGACTTTGATTCATTTAGCATATAATGACTATCGCGTGTATTTACTTTTATAAAGATATGAGGCCAGTGAAATAATCTTAACGAAGACAGCGTAATTATTGTTTGAGGTTGTTGTTTTAAAGGATAGTTTTAAGTCAAGAAGTGTGAACGTACATTTCACTCCATCATGTTATCTTCCGTAATTTATTTGTGTAAAAAGATTTTTAAACTGTATAATCGAGGGAGAAAACATGAGAGCCGCATAAACGAGTACAAGTAGTCCCTAACCAGAGTATATTGGCAGTTTAACACCGTTTTATTCTTCTTTGTCTATAGTGACAAAATCACGGGGAGTGTTAGAATGAAAATTATATCAAGAATTAACATTTTGGGAAAAGGAAAAAGGCGTTAAATTTCTGTCAAACTTACATGAGGTAAATTAATTAAATTCAGCAGTGTATACGGCACACTTTTATACTGGTTTTACATCTAATCTAATTTAAAAAGTAAAGAACTTCAATGATAATTGCTTGATTACATCATATTGTGCCGGGCTAAGTTTGCTAATTTTGAATTTACCAGACTTCTTTGTTTGAAGATATACAATGCATGTATTCGAGGTTTATTATTTATACAAATTGAACTTAAGGCCTTTCATGATTGTGTCAAGTACATTCTAAATACAGACATAACATAAAAGAACAACAGACTAGCTTTTACATTTCACCAGTTTTAATTAACAGTTTAAATTTTCCAATAATTATGCGAATATGTAGAATAAGCTTATTTCTAATTATTGATAAGGTGAGGTGATGCCCCTCCACTCATGACAACATGTTAAATTGTGATTATTACTTTATTCTATTCATGCAAATATATGTTGCCAGAAAATAGTCATTTATGTTATTTCAGTCTATGTGCAACGTGAAGTATTTTACGTGGACACATATCACAATAAAATGCTTTTCTCAAAATCATACGTTAGTGATGTTGATTCTTTTGATAAGTAAAACGAAAGTAAGTGGCGTTAACTTACCTTATAATATCAGACGGTTTACGAGTAAAGTATATAAGTCTATAGAATAAAGTTATTCTTTCACTTAAGTGTCGGTTAACCCTCGCGCACAGTACCATCAAAAGAATATACATTTGTATACTGATGTAACATTATAGAATAATAATTATGTGATTTAAAGTAATGTTACAACATTAAAAATAAATGTCGAATTTCTTATGCATAGCATATAGAAAGTATAAACCAAACCTATAAATTGTTTTAGCTTTGCATCATGAACACACATCTTAACGCATACAGTTACTAATTGAGTGTAAGGCACTGCTTTTAAAATTATCCCGTTGCAAAAATTAATGGTTCCCATAGTCCCTTGGTCTTGGTCCATATTATATCATTTGTTCTTGCCATGGAACCGAACCAGCTCCCGGCATTAAGCAATCCCTAAGGTAGTTTTTCTGTTGCTTTCCAATGTTATGGTCTACGTTACGGCCAACAGGTTCTCCTGCGTACGCTTAAACCCTCCTCTAGCCATACTAAGGCATGGTTTGGTCCTCTTGGTCGGCATTGACTGTTACACCAGTGTATCGTATCCTCAAAAGGTTGTGCAACATGACGCAGGCAAGGAATAGGGACTTCACACTTTATGTTTTCTTATAAACTGTTGCATGAAGCAGACATTGAAATCTGTTGGCCAATATTCCGATGCATAATTAAATATACACTCATCGTGACCAAGGTCCATCCTTGAGTAGGGCTTCATCATCCAGCCAGGTCATCAATGGAAATGCATTGTGTCCCAGGAAGAAGTAGGACAGGTTTTCGTTCAGGCCTGGCAGCGGCTCTGGATAAGGGAAACCTAGTTCACCACCTTCCATCAACTCCCTCAATTCAGAGTCGTTGAACACTTGACAATCGGATGCTGAACCATACTCCGCCACTGATGCCCATAAGAACTTGTAGTCGGCATCTGCCAATGCCAGAAGGATCATGGAGAAAAAGCCCTTGTAGCTGTGGAAGAGTGATCCAGATTTTGGTGGAGCCTTGATAGGGATATGTTTGCCATCCAGGGCACCACAAGCATGGGGGTAATTCCACTTGATGATGAACCTGTCACTGACTTCCCTCCATTTACCTGGCTCAATAAGTGGTGGCTTAACTTTGGCTTTTAATGTGTCGACTATGGCCTCCAGGACGGTCGGTGTGAATTTGGAGATTGTATTGTCTGCTACACGGAAACTGTACATCAACTGTCTGAATGTAACACTAGTGGCCATGTGTCTGGTGTGATTGCAAGCATGAGTTCAGGCTCAAATTGCTCTCTGAAAATAAATAATAGTAAACAAATATTTATCAGCGACATTTATTTTAAAATTCTCATATATATATATATATTTATACATACTTCTACTATTGATCATTGAGATAAGTATAAATAATTCATGCTATTTATAAATTTGCATTTTTTCCCTGGAAAAAAGATATAATATTATTGTTAACCTCCAATTGGTTGTCCTCTTAGATATCTTTTGCCCAACGCTTCTCACCAACTTCCCAAACAAGTCGGCATCAACACGGAGGAAGTTCGTGTAATGCATAGGGTCCTCTCTGTTTAGTTCTTGTAGCAGAGTCTCATATTGACCAAGCATGGTCCTTCGTTTGAGCCATTCTCTTGTCCAAATTTGCCTCCTTCTTCTCTGCTTTATGTTGGCTTGATTTTGTCTCTCCTCACGCCTTCTGGCCAAAATAATCTCAATGTCTATTAGTCTAATCATTATTTCTAGTTCCCTTATTCTGTTGTTCGTTGCATCTGCTATTGATTTTATTTTTCGTTGAGAATTCGAAAATTTATGAAGCCAAGCCATCAAAATGGGTAAATTTATATCAAAACATACGCGAATGTGTGATAATTCGAGCATAACTCGAACAAAAGTGGAGGGGATCCTATGTTAACCCTGTGAAAGTCGATTGAATCGAGGAAAAGTCGTGATTTATCGTACCAGACCGTATCAGACCGTAGTTGGAACCGTACAACATTCGTATATATTCGAATGCAAATCGTGTTCAAATCTTGCTTGACCGAGTATATCCGTGCTTTATTCGTAAATACTCGTATTATATTGAGTCTAACTCGTACCAACAAATCCTCAGGCATGGTTGGAGCCTAATACTCATACCAGTCAACCCGTGTATAACCGAGTATACTGTATGAGAACCGAGTGTCCAACCGTGTTTTGTGTGAGACGGACTTTATAAAAAACAAAACACTTATTTTTAACATCAGTGATGTATCTTAAACCAATCGATTTTATTCCCCAATGTGGAAAAAAAATCGTAACGTAGGCATACTTTGTTAAGAGAAACGTTAATTAATATAAGCAACTAAATCGACATAAATCGTTTAATTCAAAATGAGGGTAAATCCAAACTTGAATATCTTTGAAAATAAATGATCTGACTTCCCACTATCATCTTCCAAATATTGTTTCGGAAATATTGTTGAGGTAATTACAGATCGTGTAACTTTTAAGCGGAATTCAGAATTTGTAGAAAATGTTCAACCTTATAGATCATTAACTTCATGTTATTTTAATGATTTATATTAACATTTTAGCAAGAAAATGTAATATAAAAGTTCATTAAAACTAATTGTTTGAATGATATTTTTCTGAAGACAGGCGATTTACTAAAAATCTCGAAACAGGTGCTAAACAGTAGAGAGTGTATTATACAAAAATCATTTAAAACTATCAAATACTGTTTCAGAAAAAAAATTGACAGATGTGAAAAGACAAGGTCAATATCTTAAGGGATAGTGAAATTTATACAAAAGCTATCTAGGGACATAATTCTGTGCATTTGCTTTAATGGCAACTCAAAGTTTCTGTTTACTTTTGAAGAAATTTTATTTAATTGTTTAAAATAATGTTATTATGAGCAGTATCGCGTTTCAAATAATTAGAAAGGTATCGGTAGGTAGTGTTAACAATTTAGTAAATTACAAGAAAAACGTTTACAAATAAAGTGCTTATAAGTAAATTAAGTGACTGAATTATATGCTATGGTAGGTTTAAACATGTAAGCATTATATTTAATGCTATACATATAAAATATGTTTATAAGACAACCTTTAGTTTGACTTAAACAGATAACATTGAAATTTACAGAACAGCCTAAACGGAAAAGTACTGGCTAACCAGTAAAGCTGGAACGTTACCTTATGGCCTCTATTGTGAAAGTGCGACAAACAAGAGTAACTTACGGAAGCACAGAGGGGACATTCCGATTTTATATTATTTTCCTATCTCCTGGCCACGAGTTATAACTCAGGAAAAAACAAAACAAAAAAACAAAAAACAACAAAATGCTATCTCGTGGCCACGAGATATAACTCAGAAAAAACAAAAAATCGCTATCTCGTTCCCACGAGATGTAACTCCCCTCTATGCTTCCGTAGTATCTTACTGAAGATTGTAATATTGTGTGTGTGTGCGTGTGTTTTTGTGTGTGTGCGTGCGTAAGTGCGTGCGTGCGTGTGTGTGTGTTGGTGTGTGCATGCGTGTGTGTTGTTGTTGTTTTGGGTCATAACATGTTTCGCAAATAGTATGTCTTTAAATAGTGAAAACTAAAATTGTGAATTATAGTAAATATTATGTTTTGTCCTATAGTTTATATATTGTTGCCATTGGTCATCAATGAATTAGCCCTCAACTATATTATTCTTATACTTTAGTTATCCTTCTTTGATGACTAAATACGCTTGCAAGCACGTGCAATAAATATTATAGAAAGTTAAAACCATAACACGTGATGTTAAAAAGAACTAGGCTAATCTATAACTGACTAAAAAAATAAATTCTTTAGAAATTATCCATAGAAACTATATGTGCAGACAGGTGCCGATTTATTTAATGGTGATTAATTAAGCCATAAAATTTCAAGTCTTATTGGTTTGAATATTATTCATATGAAATGCAGGGCAGTCTGGCTATGAATAGTATATAATTAAGATAAAGTGTTCTTGAAAAAAATGAAACAAACAACACACATTGATAATGGATTTATATGGAACAAATCAAAGTGGCAATAAAATGAAACGGTGTACGAATATAGTATGCTTTTTGTTTGTAAGAAATAATTAAATGTTATATCTAAATGAAGCATTTTTATATCCATAATATATTCACCTCAGAACCATGACATTTGATGTATGGCAAGTATTGCTGGCCTTCATGTATTGACATAATCATTATATGTTTAAAATACTGAATGCAAAAACTGTAGCAGAATATATACAAGGATATAAGACTTAAGCAGGTGCATATTATTGTTATTTGGCACGTAAATATTAAATTAATTAAATAAAAAAAATGTTTAAATGAATTACACCATTTACAAAGGCCTCTCTTTGTATGTATACATACAATGGGTTTCTATCACTTTTAAATAATCAAATAAATTAAAATAATATTGTTTCATTAAAAGCCTTTCACAATTTCAACAATATTTTACATAGCTTTAGCTGTAAGCTGTAAAAATGAAACATATGAGGTATTGTTATTTAAGATTTATTTTTGCAGCAATTGAGGCAATCAATTAGACATGACGGCAATAGGCAAGAAAAACGTCAAATAATTAGTGAAAAAAGTACAACAACATACAATGAAAGCATACTAGCTATCAAAATTGACGTGTTATCGGCCATTCAGTATATCACAGTCTGGTTGGAAGTAATTTATGATGTCTTATTATCTACATGAACAGGAATGTTTGCCAGGACAGTGACAAGAAAGTCATAGTTGATTTATAAATTGTTGAAATAATTAGTTCTGTTATTTATTTGTGATCATTGAATATTTCAGAAGAATTTACCCATGGTTACTTTTGTTTGGTTTTTCAATGTATGTACGCAGCAAGAACATACTAGCTGTAATATTTAAAATATCAATGCAGTTGGCATACACTTTTCATACACAAATTTATCAACACAATTTATACACATAAAAATAATTCCTGTTGTCCCAGTGCAATGAATGACATGGCTGATATAGTTCTTAGTTTGAAAAGGTTTTAATTTAAATCCCTTTAGTAACTTTTAAAAATAAAAATTTAAATTATTTTTTTACAAATCTTTTAATTGGGTTTATTTTGGATTAATGTTTTTTGAAAAATATTAAAAAAACACTTTTTATGAAACCCCTTTTAATTTAAAGGGGGTTGCACGAAAAGATTAATTGAAGAAAAAGTTGTAATATTATACCGCGACGATTTTGACTGCCTAATTTTAATTTCTGTACAAAATGTATTCAAAATGAACTTTAAATTAAGCTTAACGAATTAAATAAAGTAATCAATGCTATACAGGTGAATTCCAAATTTTCAATAAGACTTAGTGTTAGATCCATCAACTATTTGTCAAATATCGATCAATGCCCCATAGCACCGGTTTGATCAATACTTAACATAGTTAAACCATGATAGTAAAGATCTAAAAAAGACTTATAGTTTACAGCTGCAAAATAACTCTTAACACATACTGCTGAGATGATAAATATTCTAGAAAATTTATCTACATTAGTTTTTAACTATTTAATCATTTCATTAATATCAGGTTTATTAATTCTTTCAAAACACCCAAATCATTGTTCTTTCAATGTAGTGAAAATATGATTGAAAGAATATTTTTATTTTTGTCAATTAAGTTGATTTCAATCAATATGGAATAAAAATAGTTAACGGCATCAACATCGCTTAACCTTTCCAACGATACAAAATCTTTAAATTTCAAGACTCATATTTTTAACGGCTCATTTAAATTTAGAAGAGTATGACGTCAATTCTGATATAATCCGATTTGTAATCCTAAGAAATATTTGCAGTGCAGCATCGTTCGGGAAACTAGGGGTAACATTTAACCTAAGATACAAAAATCTGGCTTATGAAAAAATGCAGATTGTTTTTTAGCAGTTTGCCTTGGATTATTTTTCGTAATTTAAGTCCCCCATTTAACATAATATAAATTCATGTTTTAAAGGTTAATTTAAGTATCATTAATTAATCGAAGTTGTTGTTTTGCAGACTTTGCGAGTCAAGCAAATTACATATCTGTGTACTATTTCAAGCTTTTTATTATATTACTGTTGTCACATACGACTTTTTAAATATGTCATTAGCCTGGGAATTAGGCGTTGATATTATTTGTTTATTCATAACTTACGCGCTATTTCATACTCGATCGTCATAGATAACACAACATCTCTGGTTTTGATAGTGTCGA